TTGGAGACATTGAAGGATATGGCAGCGAACCGACAGCAGTGGTGTTCTTGTTGTCACTTCATATCAGGCCAGAACGCTTGAAACGGTGTGCATGCAGAGTTCGGTTGTGTTCTGTGTTGACCATAGAGGTTCACCTTCTCCCTCCCTCCAATCCTTGTCCTCCTGAAATATTACCGCTAACCTAGTATGCACTGCGAGTTTGGCAGCGACCAGTAAGGTTCGCTTCACTGTATTTCCCTGTAAGATGATGATGATGATGATGATGATGATGATTACTACTTTCACCTGTAATATGAAGTATGCTTCCTGTTCGCCGGATGGCATCAGAACAAACGTAGTTCCAAACCAAAAAACTTAAATTGATCATTCCAAACAGACCTATTTCCCTGTTCATTATCAGCATACATTAGACCACACACCGAGTATGCTCTGCATGCTTGAAATACAAGGCTGATTCGCGACCAGAAGGCACTTAAACGTCCACAGAGAACAGCAGCCAAAATGTTCAAAGGGNACCGTCGAATAAGTAAGCCATGGTATTCGTTTATTTAATACTACATCAACCTAACCACTAGTGTAGTACTCTAGTGACACTATCCAAGAGGACATCCGTTTAAACTTCTGCTCCAAAACAGCCGACTCGACTGCAGGCGTCATTCCTGCAGCCTCAGAGTTTGTAACACCTGCAACTCTCTTCCACCTCAAGTTGTTTGTGTACCAAACATCGATTCATTCAAGGCACGACTGGATGAAGCATTGTACCACCTAACTTTTCAGTGCTCGTGAGTTAACGTCAGAATTGGCTATTCAATTGTACTGCTAACCGAACCCAGTGTGTGTACAGACCCAATGGGATTCAATAAGCAGCAGCTTTGTAATTTACCCATTATGAAAAATTAGAATTTGAATAGGAGACCAGTAGAAACAAGCGGTGCGAGAAAATGTTTAGTGGGTTTTGAGCACAACTTCGCCTCCTCCTGCTTTACCCAGTGTGTTCGAAATGAGCGCGAAAAAAAACAGGTGAGCACAGAACACAGAATTACAGTCTCTTAGAGCGTGTATCTCTGTCAGAGGACGACCATCAGCTCTCAATGCACGAAAACAATCCTCTCCATCATTCACCCCGTGTTCCCGTCGGACCGGGGCAATAAATGCCTCGATGCCTTGTTGGTCAAATACGGAATGCCGTCGACACAGAGAGCAAAACGTTCTGAATCACTGTTTGGTACTTTTTTACTTGATGAAAAAGTCAAGTGTCGTCGTCGGTGCACTGGTATATGTATATATATGTTTGTGTGCCAAAAAAATCACGGAGCAATAACCTCTTTAAAAAAGAAAAATGTTCCATGATTTGCACATGGGCTGAATACAACCCGGTTGCTCAGACCAAGGCAGGTGAATTTTTTTGAGGAATCCATAACCGGAGCCTTTGGCTAGCCAAAGCCTGACCCGTAAGGTAGTGGGGCGATGTGTGAAAACCGCAATCCATTTGAGCCGTTGTCCAGTTCGTCGGATCATATGCCCTTTGGACGGGGTCAAATGTCCAAGGTGCCCAATCGAACCGGTGACCATTGCCACAACCGGAAAGGTTTGGGTGTGATTCGTACGCCTCCATGATTTTTTGGAATCAGGGTTTTTAGCCAACTTCCGCAGATGAACTACCATTGGTCCACCGACCCGATTATAGCCCCGGATATCGGCTTTTCGTCCTCTGAGTTTGGTGGGCAAGCACCTCCGCCACGAGCAGACAGTGTGTAGGACTTCTGTAGCAGAGGCTAGTGGAGACGCTTGGTCCTATGGGAGCATTTCGCGAGATGCAAGGGCAGGGTGATCACCCGCAATCCTAGACACTCACCCCCGACCATACTAAGGATTTCGGAGGCCGGTGCACAGGTGTCTCATGTTGGTGAAAACTACTGGAGCCCTTTGCCGCATCCAGGTGTTATGATGCTTTCGAGTCGCCTAAAACGTTCGACTACTTCAAACTGGTCATCACAAAAGCAATTGCAGCTCCTATAAGAATTGTAGAAGTACTTTCCCTTTTGGAGCGTACTAAGCCCACTTTATATGGTGATAAAGAAACACACGTTTTCACTAAGCGTTCCAGCTACTGTTGTTCACTTTGTACGTGCAACGAAGTGATATCCTTGCATTACAGTATTTGAGTAAATACGACTACAGTTGTGTTCTTTCGACTATCAATATTGCCATTCAGTACAGTCTTTTAGCTGCCTATTTGAATGACGGAGTAAAAGGAAGAAGTGGACATTTGGAAGAAGTATCCTACACACACACACACACGGTGCTCGGTCGTGAATGCAGTTTGCATTTACGTGTTCACATATGTTCAAAATAACTCAGTTTAACTGTAAATTGTATGATATCAATTACTACAATCGACCCGGGGACAACGGTGAAAGTAATCTTTCTTCACCAGTCACTTTTACGTCATTTCGCTTCCTTTTTCTCGTCACATTTCGCTGTGTTGTTCTCCTGTTCAGGTCTGGATGTTTCACAGTTTTGAATTTCAACTGTTGACTTGTTCCACGATTGAAAGTTCACAAGTTTTGTCAATTTCCCTGGTTGTAGAGGTTAAATTGACTTCTATCACTTGATCTATCACTCGATCTATCCACGATTTTATTCACGACCGATTCCTACGACAGTTGTGAACGTTCGACCACCGTTCCTGCCATATCGCGCTCCGTTCACTTGTGTGCTCTTGTTCACGCTCGTTGTCCAGTTGGGTAGTGGGATAATTCGTGAGTTGTCGTCACATGGACCACGGATAAGTCCTGTTTCACTCAAATTATCAAGGATTCCCGTACCGTGCGAATCCGCTGAGTATGTGACCATTTGAACTCATATGTGTAGAGTTTTGGGTTCTACGTTTTACCACCGGGCTCCTGTTAGATTAAAGCTAGCGTGCATCCGCCTCGGACACCGACCACTGTCATCTGGAAAGTGATCAACTCCTTGATTTACATTCGTTCATTAGACAAGCTTGACTTCATAGGTAATACTGGATCAATAAGCATATTCCTTGATTCATCTGATTAACACGAGATCGAACGCATCCCCATTTCTGTTTTTTAGTTCACAAACCTGTTGCGGCTAAAAACGCGTAATTGTGATTTTCGTTTATCGACGTTTTTTCGGTGTTCTCAGTTTTCTTTGCTTCACCTTTATCGGGTCTCTGTCAAATTCCAGGAGGGGTCGTTTGCTCTGGCATGCAAAAGTCGTTATTATCCAGGTGAATGCGTTGTCACTCGGTAAGTTGCATAATTTCTTTTGTGTGCTCTCTCTTCATGTTCGTGTGTGTGTGACGTGTGGCTTCCCGTTTAAAGAATTTGAACTGAACGGTTCTCCGTGTGAATGTCGTTGCACTACTACCACCGGGGTCCCCCACATTGAGTGCTGTTGATCATATCTGTTAGAATATCAAAATATAGTCAAGTTATCTGTGACCCAACACAAAGTCTACTGTACGGCCCAGAAACCTGGTCATTGAGAAAACAGGATAAAGATTGACTGTCACTGTTTGAACGCCACTGTCTGCGCAGCATCGCGCAACTCTGGTGGGGGCCGGGTGAGCAATGCTGAGGTTGGGTGCAGAGTTTTGGGTAACCGCGGTCGCTGCCTGGAGCAAATGGTCGAAATCCATAGATTACGTTGGTTGAGGCATGTGTTGCACATGTCACCAAATAGGTTGTCGCGGCGAGTGATGTTCGCCGAGGCAGGTAGTGAGTGGAATAAAGTCAAGGGTGGCAAAGCGGAGACCTGGTATGAGGGGATTAAATTCCTAACCAGGAGTCTAGGTCCCGTCAGGCTCCCTAGATGGGGACCTCGGGATGATGGTCACCTATAGTTGGAGATACTGAGTGGTATGTCTGCGTGTCGTGAACAGTGTCCTTCTTGCATCTCGAACTCTTTGTAACATTAGTTCATTGAAATTCTCAATTTTCTCTTTGATCCTATTTTCAATTTTTCTTGTCTTTCTCCTAATGTTCATCCAAATGGCAGCCAAAGGACAGCAACCTAAACCAGCGCACGACAGTGCATGTTTATGGGTTGTACAAACTGAAACTGGACCTCGCACAATTGCGGGTTTCGCTTCTCGGCTACCCATTTTAGTCGACTGATAAGGATGGAATAAGTTGAAAATGTTGAACATAAGGGCATTAAAAAACCGTGGACACAAAACAATTAAACTAAATCATCCAAGGCGGCGAGTAGCTGTACGACTGCCACCGTTTAGGACACACGGTCTTATCATTTGAAAACCAAACTGATGTTCCTCCAAAAATCGACCGATCAAGATTAGCTGGTCCCAGCTGAATCGACTCGTGATGACCGTTCTATAAAAGGAATAATTCATTATTAGTAGCATTATTTTTGCACACGTCTGGTTCAGACTGTGTGACAGACAAATTACGGTACAATCATCTTGATAAAAAAGAAAAAGGTTCCATGATTTGTGTGTGGGCCGAATACTGCCAGGTTTCCCGAGGCCAAGGTAGATGGACTTTCTTGGGGAGCCTTTTAGCTATCCCAAGCTCGACTAGTAAGGCAGCGGGGCAGTGTGTAACAACCGCATTCCATTGGAGGCCGATGTCCAGTTCATACACCCTTTGGACGAGATCAAACGTCCAAGGTGCCCAATACACCTCGCTGCCACAACCAAGCAGGTGTGATTGAATGTGCTTCATATGCCTTGTCTTGGTTGGTTTTCCACCAGAGTTCTTACCCAACCCCCTCTTAGGTGAATTGCCAGTGTATTCCCATTTCGTCTTCTCATTTTAGTGAGAAAACACCGCCACGGAAAGACAGTGGTTACGACTTTCTCAGCAAAAGTTGTTTGAGGCGCTTGGTCGTATAGAATCATTTCGCGAGGTTCAAGGGAGGGGTGACCAGCCGAAAACACTGTGACACCCTCAATCATACTGGGGCTTTCGAAGGCAGTGGAATAATTTACTTGCTTTACAGAGTCTAGGTTTCACTCATCACTTGAGGATCTTTGAGCGCTTTAAAACCACGCTATTGGGCTTGATGTTAAGCTCTGGATGGGAACGATTGGGAATGCGCCACTCGTTTGGGCTATCCCGTCTAGCTCTGAAAGGCACTGCTGATACTTGCTAGCAAGTCGAGGATGAAACAACTGTGCAGTGCCTGAAGGGTTTGAATTTAAAATACCAGTTTACAATTCATAAAAAATTATATTTTATGCTTTGCTGCTTATCGTTCAAACCCTTATTCGGAACTGTGTAAAACCAGTGTACCGATAGCGTCGTTTTTCATTAGTCTGAAGAAGAAGCACTGTGTTTAACTCACGCTAAAATATGTTGCTGGCTATTCCACGGGCTATTGGCTTCCTTATTTGTGTGATCGCACCAGTGAATCTAGTCCTGTTTGAGTTCGATTCTTGATAATTTTGCCAGTGCTACTTTGTGGTTGAACAGAATATTCTATATCATATTTTTCGTGAAAAGTTACCCAACTTGATATTGATTCTGTCCATCTATTCAAAGTATGCCCGATTAGTACCATTGTCACTTTTTTTCTGTCCTTAGACGAGGTTCTCCTCTTCTGGTCGGCATTAAAACACCATACGAATTGACAATGAATCATATTCCAATATTCTACCGTCAAAAAAGTAAGTTTTATCGATCTTTTTCTTCTCACAAGTCTTACCGAGCTTTGCTCTCCCTGTGTTTTGTTTGCCACTCGAAGTCCTGAGGCTCAGGTTGCCAGTTCTCATCACCGAACAGAGAAGGTCTTTGTTTACCCCGCGTGTGCTGTTCGTCACACTAAATGTGTTAGTAAAAACGTTGGTTTTGTGAATACATGATCATCGACGCGAAATCAGATAGATCAAAAAGTTGTTGAGAAAAATCCTGGCCAATGCCTGTTTTTGTTGTTGGTCACACTTTGTGATTATGTCACCTATTCACACATGTGCGAAATGCACCAACGTTTGCATACACGGACCAGTTGTTTACGTCTTTGTCATTACAATACACCAACGTCACGTGCCACCGATCAACACGTTCGATATTTACACCACCGTGACCCCTGATGCCACTTCATTTTGCCCTTACTTGTGGACACCGCTTTATCGTCTCGAAATCGGGTCCGATATTTGCTCCACTCCACTCCACTCCAACCTGCAATCCCATAAGCCATCTAGATCTGTTATGCTTTTATTAGGTATAATGCACTAATCAGGTTCCAAGATTGAGTCTGTTAGTTCGAGAGTTCAGCATACAGGTTCATGTTTATGTCGGTTTCGATGTCATATAATGCGCCACGTTAATTTGACGTACATAAGGGGTGACGGGAGGGGGGGGGTCCCTTGGGGTTGTCGTCTGTTTTAACCAAGTTAAAGTCTATGTTTCAATTGGCACCCAGTGGATGCTTCAGCAACCGATCATTTATAATCAGCCGACAATTTCGACGATATACAAATAGTTTGTATGATTTACCACTTGAACATCTCGGTACTCGGTATCGTAGTTTTGGTCTGAGTGTATTTATTTGGAATAGACTAGTATTTTGTAGATTGATGTGCCTGAGTTGATCCCGGGAGTTGTTTTTTTGCCATGACGTAACTACATATAGTCCGTTGCATGTATTTCACTTTGCACGAAATTCGTTTATGACAGACAGATTTGTTGATGTTTCCGGTAGATAATCCACTGAATTCTGGAATGTTCAAACCAAAATGTGGATCACCAAATTGCGTTGCAAAGACTTTACTTTGATTGTCTTCCACCATAGGCTAATCCATCCGTAGGATATCTTGTACCGGAATTCCTCATTGATTGGTGGAAGTAATATGCACAGGGTTGCCCGAGCAGACACAGGAAAGCACACATGCGCCTGAGTGGAGTGGGTATTACGATTATCAACGTAGTTCGGAATATTTCGTTTGCGTCACACTGTTATTCAGTGTGTGTGTGTGTGTGTTGTAACGTTGCGATTGGACGATATGACTGGACTAGCACAAGCCGTGACCAACGATACGTGCGGCAAAAATGACCCACGAACAGAACTGTACTACCCAGCGGAATAGTGACGGTACACTGGTGCACCCGACTGCGGTACCCCAAACAAGTCCCAATAGAACTGGAAGCAAAAAGCCCCACGAGAGCAGTACGATCCCCGAAACCTGACCAGAGACAACACGGAAGACAGGTCCTTCAGGCGAGGTTGTATGTTTCGCTCGACCGTAAAAGACGAAGAAAGCGCACAGCTCATCTGTTTATATACAGTTCGGGGACCGGGTATCAATGACCTTGGAAAATAGTTCGAAAGTAGTGAGTGATGGGAAAATGGACCAATGTGGATCAAGCATAGTCGGTGGTGCGGTATAAATCTTTCTTGGCGGGAAAATCTGGAAATTCAACTTTTATAAAAAATAAATAGAAAAATAGAGGGAAATAGTCACTTTTATAGGGGGAAATGGCATTTTCCTTATCAGTGTGTGTGTGAACTCTCTGGTTTCAGTTGCTCCATGTACACGTTTCTAATCTGGTGCCTAAAACGTTTTCTCTATACCGCTTCTAGTCGTATACAAATCGCCACCGCTGGATGATTTATAAAAACATATCTAACCACTAATCCTGTTGCTTTTATCAGTGATATTTACTTAGATCATGTGGCCAAACCTCGTTCTGTAGTGATACAACAATGTTAAGCGTGAATCACCATGTTCCCCTCTTTATGCCCTCCACCATTTTGATCTTATAGTTCCTAATTATCGTTCCAAGGGGCTGGCTGGGGTATGCACAAATGGTCACATTCCCGGAAGCCGCTAGACGGGTGCACTAGACCAGTTTAGAGGTGACTGAGTCACAAATCCCTTGACAAGACCAGGGTATGGGATGCGAAGACAGCTACTTCTTGGTGAGTAGACGAGATCTACTGCTTGATTTAACAGGAAAGCTGTTCAACCAACGGGACAGTATGATTTCTTGGGTTGCAGCCGCATTTATCCACTGACGAATGCCCTCGTCTGGAGCAACTGAAAACTTTGCATGTACACATTGTTGCCTAGCCGTTTGCACATGGTCGTAAAACGTCTACGATTGGGCTCTCGGAAAAGCCGAGTTACGCTACTGACCATATTCCCGTGAAAATGGATGATCTTGCTGTCTACACACTCCATTTTCCATGCTAGACAGCCCACATTCAACATGGACAGTTGCGATTAGAAACTCTCAATTAGCCAGTCATCATCAAATGAATTAAAATAAAAAGTCAATCGATTAACTGCTCCCCATTCACGTCGGGGGTTGATTTTCCACCAGTGTAAGAAGTCGAACAGCCAACGTCCGAGACTGTAATCAGGTCGGTGGACAACTGACAGTTCACCTAGAAAAGTGGGCTAAAAAGCTGATTTCGAACCAAACAAAAATAAACCTACGGACCACGCACACTTTCGTCGTATCAGTGGACATTGGCTGGATTAGAAATTGCGGTGTATTGGGCACGTAAGCCTGACTTCCTTCAAAGGGCGTATGATCCAGAAAAACCATATATATGTATATATATATATATATATATGGGTATTTTCCGAAAATTTTTCCGCCTGTCCTCGGTCGATCAGGTAAACAGAGGAAGTGCCAATATCTTCAATCGCTATGGGTTTTACAGTTTTGTTCCAGCCAATATTTCCCGATCACCGTAGACCCCTGACTGATTTTCACACTGAACCGGTTGTACGATTGGAAATCACTATCCGGGCGGTGTGTGCCATTTTCATTCGGTGCGCTTGTTCTTTTTTACAGCCAGCGCAAAAGGATTTGATTTGTGCCCAGCGTTCGCCAGCGGGGATACCGTTGTGGCTCCGGATTCGGTGCTGGCCACTACAAATCACTACATCAGTGGTCGTGAACCGCACCGGGAGATCGAGTTCTTCTTCTCCAGTGATGCAAGGTATGTTTGTTCTATTCCTTATTCTGACTGTCTGATGTGGTGTATGCAGACGACATTGTGCTGCTAAGTGAAGATCCAGGTAAGCTTTTCTGGATAGCTTGAGTGTCAGTGTAACTATGTTCCGTATGCGTTTTGCACCTTCAAATTCTAAAATGTTGCTGCAAGATTGGGTTGACCCGATTCCCAACGTCACTCTAACTAGTGAATTAGCAGAGGAAACATACAAAAAAATTTGCTATTTGAGCAGGTGTATCTCACCTAGCGGACGCATCACAGATGAATTTTCGGCACGCGTGCAGAAGGTTTGGCTGTGTTTACCAACTTGAGACATTTGTAGCGCCGTAGGCTGGTTAGGGCATGTGCTACGCATGTCACCAGATAGGTAGCCACGACGAGCGATGTTTGCCGACACAGGTAGCGGGTGGGGAAAGAGCAAGGGTGATCAAACCAAGACCTAGGCATGAGGGCGTGAAAACCCTAACCAGGACACTGGGTTACATAGGTCCCGTTAGGCTCCCTGATTGGGGATCCTGAGATCATCGTAACCGGTGTTTAGAGGCACTGAGTGATATGGCTGAGTGTCGAAAAACAGTGGCGCTCGTGTATCTACTCAGCCTTCTTGCAACCGTAGTCTATATATTAATTTCCTATGTTCCCTTCGATTCTACTCTCTCAGCATTCTAATCTTCATTCTGCTATTTGACCTAAATGGGCAGCCAAAATACAGCAACCAAAATGGATAATGGTTAGCAAAACTGATACTGTTTTCATTGCCGAGTACCACTTGTACTCGTTGTAGATCTTTTAACAGACAACAATTTGTTCCATGCACATACGATGTGCTAGTTTCTGTGTGTAGAATTTGCTCGCCTGAACTTGTGTCCATGTTTTACGCAAAGCCGTTTTGCCCGCTACAATGTTGCCTAATTTGTTCTTTAATCCCTACTTGTTCCGTTCGAGTACGCATTTGATTATTTCCTTCCAGATCTGTATTGCTCCATTTGGATTGCCTAACTCACATACTATCAATTTAGATGACAAGATCACATGGCCTATCTCTTTCTACGCTCTCTATCTATATAAGGTGGAGTTCCCTGGTAATTTTTGACTCACTTGTGCCTGCCCCTTTGAGTTTCCTGAG